ACCCGGACCACAATGTCAGCATGCAAGCACGCGGACCTCGTGTGTATGCTAAGTTAGCGAATGTTGCGCATTTTTGCATGCGTGTGTGTATGTGTGATTGTTTGTGAGGCAAGCGTGAGCAATTGGGCTCTGTGTATGCACAAAACACGAGTGTGCACATATATATATATGAGCAGCCGGGCCGGTTGCATTGCACAGTTTGTCCACAACTATGGCACGAACAAGGGTTCCCTTGCTGTTTCTGGCGAGCACTCTACTCGCAATTTGCTGCACTCCTATTTCGACCTACAGGACCACGGATTATGCTCATCAGTAAGTTCCTGCGCACGTGTAAATTTAATGTGTCATGTGCTTTATATGCATAATGGCTGATGGTTTCGGTCAAAAGGTCTGCAAGCGTGTGCTATGCCAGTATCGGCAAACCATGGCCCTCGCAGCCTGGTATGCGCTGGCAGTTCCCCGACACTTGGCTCCCTACTGGTAGATGCGCTTGCGCTCCCGCTAAGTACACAGGTGGTAAGCATGGCTTCCCAGTCATCCTCGTCGCTACGGCCCCTGCTAGGGTGTTGTTGTTGTTGACGGAAAATCCTGGTCATTTGCCGTATGGACTAGAGGGGTTTGGCGGCACGCCTAGGTGCGGCTTTGGCCGTGCCAGCCACCTGCGCCCTCTCCGCACCTCCGGTCTTCTAGACTCTGTCTTGAAACCGGGTCCAGGTGGGGAGTGGGGTATACAGGGTGCGATCGACGCTGTGCAAGTCTACTGCCACTATAAACTCACGCACAAGTCACCGTCCATTTTCTGTCTTGCTGTGGAACACCACGATGGACATCGTCGAAACCGACGGTCGAACTCTCGGCTGACAGTTTTACTTTAGTGGATTCCATACGTTGCAGCAGGTTTGGCGGGTAACACTCACGGTTCGATGGAGCCTTGTAGCTCAGGTGACTAGAGCGTTGGGTGTACTGAAGCTTTCCCCTTTCTGTGGTAGGTTTCAATCCCACTGACTTCGCAGAGGTTTTCATTCTTGAATCAAACTATATTATTCAAAGTCTGCCGAAATACCTGTTAATTACGTGAACCGGTAGTAATCTGGTAAGTTCTAGATGAATTATTTTGGAAATCCTGCTTGGGCAGTTAGCGTGCTGTATCAGATATGGTAGATTCCATACGTTGTACTAGGTTGGACGGGTAACTTAAAATATATTCCTTACGGTAAAACGCGAAGTGCATAACAGACATGAAGTAAACAAAAAATGACGCACTATATTTTTGTAGGATATCTTTGGTTTAAATCCTACCGAGGTCGCAAAGTATTTCCCGGTCACAGTCTGCCAAAATACTTTTCAGTTAAATGAGCCTGGTAGTCTTCTGTTGGATTCTAGATTGAACAGTTAGCTTACTCTAGCACATTTGGGATATGTGTGTCACAGTGCCCTGAGTGAAGGCACGTCCGAGTAGGCCTTAAAGATAATTGCCCAGTCAGAAATCTGTGAGTGGGTAAAAACTAGCCTGTCTCTGCAGACGCCCGGAGTAACGTCACTACAACGTCTCACGCGCGCTCTTCGGAGTGGCTATTACACCCATAATTTGCTCGTGAATTTGTTTACAGGGAGACGGACTTGCGAGGTATCTACCACACTCCCTCCTGTCGCACTCATCTTGTTACGAAGACGACTGTATCCAGGCGAGGGGGCAGCGGGTGACAAGAACCAACAGGCCATACGACCTGATCTTCACTCCAAATGCAAGGCTTATTCCGACTCCACATGCTGTAAGGGTTACTCAGACTCCACATGAGTAATTGCAGCCTGATTCTCAGTTCTGTGAAAGATTGGGATATCCGGCCAGTATTCGACCTTACAAGTCGCTGTAATAGATTTAGGCGTGTCAGCTTGATTTTAGTTAGGAGTGTGCCGATTTGTGGTAGGGGTGGGTATCCCAGAGCTGGTCCCCCTCGATCTCCCCGCATGTACCAGAAGACGGTGAGACACGGGCATAGGTACGCCCCTATGGCGGTTGGTTTTGCGCGAAGTTCCTGTTCCCGTTGCCCACGGACACGCAGACACACTGATGCTACGTGTGGCAGGCCTATTGGCCGCAACCCGATGCGTCATGCTTGCGTTGTGTGCGCACTTCCTCCGTGACTCATTGTTATCGATCGGGCAAATGGGACGGCGTCACGGCCACGTAGGTGCCATGATCACGTGACCAGTCTGGTGCGGTGAAAGGACTCGGGCTATGTGACTGTACCGGCATTAGCGCAGCCTCGAGCAGGCCAGCGGCTGCATTCGGAACTTGTGGACGTGTCATCGCATCATGCATATTCAGAAGATCGACACGCGTAGAACAACGCATGCATATGGTCATTTGCTTTAGCCAGGATGCATTGCTGAACATGCACCAGCAAAGTGGCGTTCACTAGGTAAATGCTGTTTTTGGAGTCGATCGGACAGCCATAACGTAAATCAACCAATAAATATTCGAGCCGAGAGTACAAAACGGCCTCTGTCGCATAAACATTCTGCAGGACTCTTCTGACGACAGCATTGGGAAAAGCAGAAGCGACTCAAAGTTTCTTACTCGTACCCACGTCTGATTGGCACCTTAAGGTACGATAATAAAATCCCAAAACCGGAAACCTTAGTCATACCAGCACCGCTTAGGGACAGCTAGCACATCCTTAGTAAGTACTGACTGATTCACCATACTCACTGCAGGGGTATTAGTTAGAAGGCTCAGAAAAGGATTCGGTTGATTTTGTGCATGGTGGGACTGAGAGGGGTTCGTCATGCGTTGGCACAAAAGCGACGAAACACGTGTTCTGGCGTTTAGCTAGCAACCGAGCCGGGAGTCCGGTGAATCAGTCCGTGCTTGCGTACTACTGACTACCCGGTAGGAGCATATGAATGTTGCACAGTAATTCTGTCGCGGCTGGTGGACTCTAGCTTGAGTAGTCATATCAGCTTTCGGACCGGATCTGAGAGGGGTTTTGGCACATAATATCTACCTTAGATTCATAGGCTACTTTTTGGGGAAAATAAAACGTTTCACACCCACTTGGAAAGTCTTCGTCAGGGACACCAACTGCTAGAGGCCTGGACAACATGTGGGGACGATTGTAAAATGAACTGTCATGTTACTGGAGAAGCCTGGAACAAGTCATTATTCCTTGAGCAGGTGAGACACGCCTATCAGAACATGCCACAGATCACGCCGCGGAGACACGTGCGACAATTTGGGTCTCCAGCGTCGCCAGTCCGTATCTTGTACCGAAATGAGGACAGATCAGGGAACGGAACTTTCAATCGACCTTGGTATTGGGAAGAGAGGAATGCCACTATGAACCCCATATGGTTGCCCATCGTTGTTCAGTGGTCATAGCTCACATGTCACGAAGTACAACGGTCTGCGAATGGTAGGTTTGCAATAAGGTTACACGGATAATGGTGCGCTAAAGACCAGGATTCGGGTCCAAGCGCCCATCTTGGCAAAAAGGCGGACAGGTAAGCAGAGAAGTCAGTACTTTATCTTTTGACCGACAAGGTCCATGTGACCATTGGGTATCTGAAGGTTGGATTAGTCTCGAGCATCTCCTCCAAGAGCTGTTTCACATTTTTGTTTAAATTAACCCCTTTGTATGATCCTATCAGTTATCAGCTCCTGGGAAGGCGATGTACGCACACATTTGCTGGAACAAACATGTAGCGGTCAAATGATCGTAAGCGTCAAGGTTATCGAAACGCTAATGGCAGCCCCCCAAGGGGATTTCTGATGGAAAGGGAGCATAAGTAATGATGAGGGAAATACCACAGAAAGGTGCCGAACAAAGTTTCAAAAACAGGATTTTTCTTTGTCATTATAATAATTGAGAGCATATTTACTGAGTTCAGTCAGGGTCTATCAGATTTTCGATTCGTTTCGCGTAGTTTACAACGGATTAGATAACTCCACCAACTTCCACAAAACGCTTCCGCAAACAGGCAAATTTCGCCCATAACGACATGATGGACACACAGATCTACGGGCTGGTTTCTATAAGACATGATTTTAAATTGATGCCGCAAATATTTAACCAGTTATATATGTATGAATAACGAAGGTGGTGCGCATTTTGAGATGACGCAATGAAAGGAGGGGTCTCGACGGGTCCAACGGGCCTTCTCATTTCATTAAGACAGATATGTTTGTGCACGTTTTTAATAAACTATGTTTGAATTCATATGCGCATAGGAAAACGATAAGAAAAATTTCTACTGCACATTAACTCGTTTTGTACGAACTTCAGTTTGTGCTGGCAGTTGAAAACAAACTTATTCAAACGCTGACATCCTGGCGTTACTGAAATATCTGGGGATTATGCTGAACGGTTATTAATATTACAAACCACCGACACAGAGTGTCGGATACGCTTCAGAATTTCGGCTGACATTTCATGAGATCGCATACCCATTACATATACACCCATGAAGGTCATGCACTTAAACCCAAGGAATATGGCAGAACTAATAAAAAGTCTATGAAAATAGTCAGAAACCACTTTTTTTACCTTCCGCAGGTTTTCTCTAAAGAGAAAGGAGGATACGCAGGAGACAGCCATAAGAGAGGAGCAAAATGGAAATCCAATTCTGGCAGAAAGTGAACTTCCGGCTGCTGCTGTTACACCGGAAGCTACGGTAAATGACCATGCCACAGGCACTCAAATGACGACACAAATCTCAGACAAAGGAGAAGGCCTGTTGCAAAAATCGGTCGCTGCTGCGTTTCCGAGTTCGGACAGAAGTGAATCGACTAGCACGCCTGCAGAGATGCAGAGACCCAGGAAGCAAATCAGCGGACACGGAGTGGCAGAAACCAATTCGGAATTGAAATCAGAAAAACGAAAGGAGGAAGACAAAGAGGAAGAAAAAGAAGAAGAGAATGATGAAGAAGAGAGGAAAGGAGAAGGAAAAGAACAAGAAGAAAAAGAAGAAGATGAAGAAAAAGATGAAAAAGAAGCAGAAGAAGAAAAAGACGAAGAAGAAAAGAAAGAGGAAGAAAAGGAAGAAGAGGAAGAAGTTGAAAAGGAAATGGGGAATGGGGAAGAACAAGGAGAAAGGGCGGAACAAGACGAGAACGAAGAGGAGGAGGAAGAAGAAAGGGGAAAAGAAGAAGAAGAAGAAGAAGAAGAAGAAGAAGAGGATGAGGGCAAAGATAAGGAAGATGAGGAAAAAAGAGACGCAAAACAAAAAACTACTAATGCTATTAAAACAGAAAAAGTGCCTGGGAAGGAGAACAAGGAAAAGTCGACAGTAGGGAAAAACATGGTGGATGTGCAAGACGAGGTAGCGCATAGCACTTCGCCAAGTCAGGTGGCGGCCGCGTATCCCGTATCCACTACAACGACGATCCCTGCACGATCGACAGTACACACCTGGATTACGAGCTCGGACGACGGATCTGTCAGTACGATAGATGTGGGAACCGATAGAGTACACATTCCCACGACAGGTCCTGCCGATTTTTCTGGCCTCGTGGGGTCTTCAATTGAACCCACTAATTTGACAGCATCTGAAGACGCTGAAGAGACTTCAGCGTCCCCCGCAGTCGCGCATCGCGTGACAGCTACTCCGACAATACCAATACGATCGACAGAACAGAGGTCGAGTCTGACTTTGGAGGACGGATCTGCCATGTTAACCGATGCACCAGAGCATCCAGACGCGTCAAATTTCGTGGAATCTTTAACAGAACCCACTGATTTGGCAGCATCTGAAAACAGTGAACAATCTATCACATCTTCTGCGGTCACAGATCCTGTCATAACTACACCAACAATTTCAGCAGAATCAAAAGAAAAAATTTCGAATATGGTGGTGGATGACGTATTCGCAAGTACTGCGAATGTGCAAATCGATGCAGCACACATTCCTCCAACAGATTCTGCTGATTTCTCGAGCATCTTAGGATCTTCGATAGAATCCACCGATTCGGCAGCAGCTGCGAACGTTGAAGAGACTTTGTCGTCTCCCACGATCTCGCATCTGATAGCAGCTACTTCGACAATCCCTTCTCAATCGACAGAACAGAGGTCGAGTTCGATGATGGACGATAGATCTGCCAGGACGTTGGAGGTGCAAACCGAGGAAGTGGAGCTTCTTACAACAAGTCCTGCTGATTTGACTGGCATCTTAGGATCTTCAGATGAACCAACAGATTTGGCAGCATCTGAGAACGCTGAAGAAACTCCGGCGTTTCCCACGAGCTCGCATTTAGTGGCAGCTACTTCGACAATCCCCTACCAATCGATAGAACAAAGTTCGAGGTTAACTCTGGACGGCAGATCGGCCAGTACGACTAGTGTACAAACCGATGCAGCACGCATTTCCTCAACAGACTCCTATGGTCTGTCGGACACTTTAGGATCTTCAATTGAACCTACTGATTTGGCAGCATCCCAGAGCGCTGAAGAAGCTTCGGCGTCCTCCACAATCTCGCATCTCTTGCCGGCTACACCGAAAATTCCCGATTTGTCAGAGGTAGCAGGATCTTCAAAAGAACCCATTGGCTTGGCAAAGTCTGAGACCACTGAACAAGCCTTAACAACTTCAACGGTCTTAAATCATGTGACAGCCACTTCAATAATATCCGCCCAATCGACGGAACAGAGTTCGAATTTGACTTTGGATGACGGATCTGTCAGAACGCTGGACGTTCAGACCGATGAAGCACCGATCCCCACAGCAGGTCCTGTTGATTTGACTGGGATCTTAGAATCTGCAAATGAACCCACCGATTTAGCGGCATCCGCGAATATCGAAGAAGCTTTGGCGTCCCCCGGGATCTCACATCTCATGCCAGCTACTTTAACAATCCCATCCGAACCGACAGATAAGAGTTCGAGTTTAATGCTGGACGGTGAATTTGCCAGTACGATGGATGTGCAATCCAATGCATCAAACATTCCCTTAGCGCATTTCGCCGATTTGTCTGGCATGCTCGGATCTTCAAACGAACCCATCGATTTGGCAGAATCTGAGAACGCTAAGGAGGCTTCGGCGTCCTCCACTATCTCGCATCTAGTCGCAGCTACACTGACAATTCCGGAACATCCGACAGAACACAGCTCGAGTCTAATGTCAAGTGAGAGATTTTCCAGCACTCTGGAAGTTCTACCGCGAAGTTCCCTCAGCATCAGATCAGTGATTTCGTCCGATGAGGCTGATGGGCATCATCCACTTTTACCTGCTACTGACACAATTTCTGGTGCGGCCTCCGCACCTACTTTCGATGGCGGAAATTCGGGTACAACAACGGATATGCCTGTGTACGGTGCCGATGCCTTAACCGGCATTTCAGAATTAAGGCATCATTCTTCAAATTCAGATCACTCAAGAGACGAAGTTGTCCCTACAGATAAACCCACGGTTCTGGCTGCTTCTGAAAACTCATGGAAACATCACGTGACTCAGTTCTACGGACGTCTCCCCGGTGTTTCATCAACTGTTTTATCTGCCTTCGGAGAAGACAGTTCAAGTACTGATGTTGACAAAAGTTCGCAAAGCACCCAAGTAGCGTACACCGATCAGACTCTAATTTCGGATCTGTCTGACGACAATTTGGGAGTTTATCAGGAAGGCAGCTTATTGGGCAGTTCACTGTATAGTCCAGAACCGCCGGTGTATCACAATACTAAAGGTGCTGGGTCAGTTCTGTCAACTGTTTCACCTGTCATCGGAGAGCGTTCCTCGATCTCAGATATTCGTGTGGGCTCACCGAGTAACTTATACGTATCCCTGGACCCAAATTCTGAAAATCTGTCCCCAATCCGCGGACAGTCGGAAGCCAGCATGAAAACTCTAAAAGAAGCCACCCTTGCGGCCGTTTCTGAGCGACCTCAAGAGCGTCCCATGTCTCCCATGAGTGCTACAAATGACGATTCAAACCTAAAACAAGCGGGGGCTAACTCTGCAACTCCAATCGAAACCACGCAGAAAACTCAACAGCTCCCAATGTCTTCGACTGTCGTTGCTTCCGGAGCGGTTATACAACCTGCTTCATTGCCTACCAAAGATATCATTTCAACTTTGGGTGTTGAAGAAGTTCCGGACAGTCCTCCTTCAACGACCGTCAGCAGTGTCAGCCCACGCTCAAAGTCTGACGAATTTTTATATAACACCGTAGTCGTGTCTGCCGAAACGCACTCTCCAAACCCGGAGCAGTCGGTAGAAAAGCTGGCATCTGTTCAAGCTACAGTTCTGGCCATATCGGAGAACGCCCAGGAGCATCGTGTTGCACCTACTGATGAGGTCTTGGTTTCAGTTGCGCCAGCCATTTCGCTTGCCGTCGTGAATATCAGTTCGCTATTGAACGTAGAAAACGGCGTAGTAACGTCCTCAGACACTGCATCCAACATTAAAGTGGGAGATATCTCGGGAAACTCAGAAGAACCCTCTGTTTTTACTACTGTCGAGGGCTATGAAGAACATTGGACATCTGTCCCCTCCATGATATCTGCATCATCTGAGTCAGTAGTCCAACAGAATTCACCTTCTGGCCCCAGCGGTTTTGAGGGTTTTCTTAGCATCCCCGCCGTCCATCCAGATTCACCAATCTTCGCGAATAAGGGGGGGTCGGATGAGTCGAGAGATGTCAGTGGTTCGTCGCAAGAAACTGCGAGTTCTTCCGGATCTGATGATTTTCAGAACCATCCCATGTCTCTGTCTGTCACAGCGCACACAACAACTGAACCTACTCAGTCACCGGACGTTAAGAAAGACAACCACAGTTCAAACTTTGACGAAAGTCCCGTGACCGAGACAATAACCGCAGTACCTAGAGACCAGTCCTCAGACTTGGCCCAGACAAGTGATGAATTAGGGACTTTAGCAGAATCGACCGCTATGCCTACTTCTGAATACCCCCGAGAACAAGAACTATCCAGTGACGTTGCAGTTTCCATGTCAGACGAGCCAAACGACTACTCACGAGGCGAGAGAAATCTTTCCTCAAGCCCAAATTTTGACGGAGGCTTGTCAGGCACTGATGTGTCATCGGATCCCACTCTACTTGGCAAACCGCAGATGAAAACTACTGATGATTCGGCCAATCCTGGTGGCTCTCAAGAGCATTCAGTTGGCCTCAGTGGTACTGACTTCACTTCTGCTCCAATACACTTTTTACCTATGGCCAACGAAACTACCTCGAGCTCAGATGGTCATGAAGGTTTAGCTGAAAGTGCTAACCTGTCAAAGTCACCCATATCAGGCATTCAGCCTCCATTCGCTGAAGCGGCGTGGGATAATTCTGAAACTCCTCTGGAATCCAAGCCTTTCACTACCTCAAAGGATGTGTCAACTGCACCTACTGTTACAGCGGTCACTTCGAGCCCGAATGCTAACGAAAGTTCACCAGGCACCGTTGACTTACAGACGGGCGCACCACTGGACGACCAATCTTCCGGTCCCTACCAGTATGGAGCGGACATCGGAATTGATTCTGAATCCACTGATTTTAGCTCCACGGAGGGCCATTTCACGCCTGCTAATGAGTCCGCTTTTAAGAATTCGTACTCGTCCGTCGCAGATAGTACTTCTGAGGTTCTGGAAACTACTATAAACCCACAAACTGCTTCACCACCTATTGGCCAGAGAATAGGCGTTGACCTGTTTGACAAGAACGTGGGTTCCTCAGAAACGCCCAGCTTTCCAGCTCACACCAGTACTCCTCAGAGACATGCAGTTGAGGCTTCAGCGTCAGATGTGCCAACTCCCTCACAATCCGCCGCCCACAAAAGTAAAACTGTCAGCTTCACGGGTGTCTTGGAAGACACCACAGGCAGAGCCGAAACCGTCATTTACACTGAATTTACCCCCGGTGTCGTCAGCAATGCGGATCATGTTGAACGTGAGCCAATGCTTTGAGAGAGTGAATGGGAAAGATGTCGTCTAATCAGACTTCTGATCGAGGATCATTCTATCTGATTGTTAGTTTTTATTTAATGTAAAAAATATAAAAAGGACAAAAAATCGACTCTTCACGGAGGTTCTGATCGCAAATATGTAACCTGACATTCAATTTGCGTAAAGTCCTCCATTACCATGTTGTGATAACAGGTAAATAGCTTATTATGTTTAGTGGGAGTCGCCTAAGCGAGTCCATCGTCCCTTTTCTGAAGGCGGTAGTGGTGGTTATGATAAGGCAATTCTCTGCGCAATATACATGCTAATTTTAGTTACGGCAGGTGTAAGGATGCAGCTTTCTACTGAATTTCATGGACTAATCTTCAGTCTTCAGACCACAATCGGAACCGAAAATAGCAAGTTGGGTTTCGACGCT